GATCTTGGGGGGCCGAACTGGGACTGTAGCAACTGTGAGAGTCCAGAGGTGCAGCAGACGCACTCCTGCTGATCTGGGGAACTGGCTAGCACTGGATCAGGGAAGTGGGGGTGAAGTTGGTCAGCAGCTAAATATGTGACCCCAGCTCTCAGAGCTCCCGTGGTCAGTGGAGTGTGTAACAGCTCTGGTGTGTCTGATGCTCCATGACTGTTACGGATTGAATATTTGTCTCCCCCTCAAAATTCATATGTTGAAGCTCTAATCGCCAGTAGGATGGGGATTACTTGGAGATGAGGTTTAGGTGAAGTCCTGAGGGTGTGGCTCCGTGATGGGATTGGTGAGTCTCCTTATAAGAAGAGGAAGAGGGGTCAGAGCTCATTCTCTCTCCACTGCAAGTGCACAGTGAGAAGTCAGCCACCAGCCAGAAAGAAGGCACTCACCAGGAACCAAATCTGCTGGCACCTTGGTGCTGGATTTCCTGGCCTCTAGGACTGTGAGAGCCATAAATGTCTGTTGTTTAAGCATCCCAGTATATAGTATCTTGTGATTGCTGCCCAAGCAGACTAAGATACTGCCATTGTTCCCTTGTCCCTGTCTGATCCTGGATGCTCCCTACAGCTCACCCCAGTTAGAGATTTCATGTGTTCCTTGGACCAGTGGCCCCAGCCACTCCCATAGCAACTGTAGCTGGGCCCCTAACTATGCAGTGCCACTCGCAGCCTGTGTTTAGACATCAGGCCTCAGCCTGGTCTGCTAAATATCTGGAAGCGCCACTTTCTCACTCAAATTCTTCCTCTTGCCAAGCAGTCTGATCTGACAGGGGTCTTGAGCAAGAAAGATAGAATTTGTCATATTTGCAGTACATAACATTCTATAGAGTAATTCATAACTTGCCCTTTCCCACGTCTCTTACATACATCCTTTTGTGTGTACTAACATTCCAAAATCACTGAAGAAATGAAACAACGTATTGTGAAATGCAATATAAAATTATTCTCATGATCAAAATTAAATCTCTTGTCACAACCTGGAAAGAAAAATAACATGGATCAGAATAGCCCTAGGAAGCTGCCTCCAAACTTGAGGAGGGCACCAGCTGATTTTCAGGCTGACACATCACCAAAGGTGACAAGAACTGACTGTCCAGCTTCTCATACATGCGGTAACCTGGGCAAGGGAGGAACAATGTGGTGTACGTGTTGGCAACAAGTCAGGCGACACTGAAACATTCCAAGGATAGAAAACAAGACAGAACATTAAATATTTGAACTCTGGCAATTTTTAATCCCAGCTGTGAAGGGACAGGAGGGTAAACACAGTCCATTTATAAAAGGTGTGCACATTCACAGGGGCTCTAAATAATGCAACATTGTTTCGCTCGTCCGTGCTGCTGATAGTTTCACAGTGAAAAAGTCACTCCAGACAAGTTGGCTCCAGTCACACCCGCCTCTGGAAAGAGGCCAAAATTGTTCTGCTGCAAGCCTTGCAGTGGCACCCAGACATTTTAAAAGAGGGGCTTTCCACTGTGTCATGCTGGGATTTCTACAGAGGTGAGAGCTGAGAGGGAATCCTGGCAGCGACCACATTCTGCAATCCCACAAGTGGGGACAGGTGTGCTCCACTCAAAAAAAGCCACAGTTCTCTTTGTTTAACAGAAAATTAATGACGCACCTGGATTCCAGTCTGAAGGAAGTAGATCATGTTTGTTTTCAGAAACAGGCTCGGCTGAGGGTGCAGAGTATGTGGGTCCCACAGCCTCCATCTGCATCTTCTGTGACGTCTCTGTTGCTGCCCACAGCCGTGTTCCCCACTACGTGCATTTCTATTCCTACTGGTCTGCTAATGCCCAAGGAAAGGCAGTGTTCTGAGAAGGCATGTGCTGAGCTGGGGCCTGGTAGCCAGGTTAATGATGGAATTGCCTGCCACAATCCCAAAGGACACATTTCTAAAACACATGAGACAGTTCTGATGCCAGTACCCCTTACACACCCCAGCACTCTCCTGGGCCCATGGCCGTGGCTAAGCAAGGTTCTCACATTCCGGGCCTAGTATTTGTTTGCTACTATCCTCTTTCTCCAGAAGAAAGTGAAATAAAAATGAAGAGTATTTTTGCCAACTTTCCAGAAGAAAGTGGAAGAAAAAGGCTTGGAAAAGGTTGTTGAATTCAAAAATTGGCAGATTACAAAAATATGTAAATTAATATATATTACTTTATATACAGTTAATATTCTATTCAGACCATAAAGAAAAATCACACCCACCCTCCGAGGATGTTTAAAGATAGGTCCTTTACTAGACCAGAGTGTTGGAGGTTGTTGGGACAGGAGGCGATGCCGTGGAGAGATGATAGAGATGGAAGGGACTTCACAACCCGGACACCAAAACCAAACAAAGACAGCATAGAATAAACTACAGTCGGTTCTCACTTAGGGAGCTTAGTATAAACAACCTGAATGAAACAACGGCGTATTTACAGAGTGGTAAACCATGACCAAGTGGGGTTGTCCCAAGAAAGCAAAGATGGTTCAATATAGTGATTTGTTAACAATGCATTCTACTTTTTTTTAATCAAGGAAGAACAAAATGAGATAATTTCAAGACATTTAGTAAAGTTCAATATACATTTGTGTTGTGAGCTTTTAATAGTGGAAGAACAGATGCAACTTTAATGTGCTTAAGAATATAGATCCTCTTACACCCAAACTGACGTCAGCATTGTCCGTGGTGAAACACTAAAGTGCTTCTTAGAATGCTGCCAAAGTAAGGAACAGGACACAGCAGAGTCTATCATCACTCTGGCATTTAGTCCTGTTGGAATAGACTCATCAAAGAAAATAGGAAAAAGAAAGAAAGAATGTTTAAAAAAATGAAAAGAAGGCAAAATTAATATTATTTGAAAAAGTTACGGCTGTAATACGTGGAATATTCAAGAGTGTCAGCTGAAAATCTATTAGTAACAATATGAAAAGTCAGCAGGAAGAGAGGCCAAAATCTTAATATATGTTAGTCAATTTTATATTATGAAATATGATGACAAAAGATCCCATTTATAATAACAATGAAAAGAATTATAGCAATAAATAAATCTTAAGGGAAATACGCAGAACACATATGAGAAAATTCTTAAACTCCAGAGGGGCATAAAGGAAGACTTTAGTACATGGAAACATATATCTTAGTCTTATGAAGCAAAACTCAAAAATCCAAAGATGTCATGTTTTTCTAACTTAATTTGTAAATTTGATGTTATTAATTTGATTTGAAATGCTATCCGAGTTTTCTTCATAACCTGACAAGTTGATCCTACAGTTGAAATAAAATAAGCATATGAAAATATTCAGGAAAGTTCTGGAAAAATTATAGAAGAATTGGGGTGAGATAGCGACTAGCCTTATCAGACATTTAAACGCTGTAATAAGTAAAGCAGTTTGCTATGGAGCAGAATTAAATAGCCGCATCTACACCCAGGCACAAATGACTGATAATGACTTAGTGTATCATGCATCCAGGAAATAGTTTTCAAGGGTTCATGATGTCTTCCGCCACTGCCCTGGTAACGCATGTGGGCTTCAGTCCTAGCAGGAGACTGTGATTGGTTTGGGGGATTCTCACATCCTCAAATTCTTTCACTGCTCAATCAGCCCCAAAGCAGGCCTGGCTCCAGGAAAGGAACCAATTTGGAGCACATTTCTAAGTAAGTGGCTTGGAGAACAAAAGCCCCAGTCCTCTGGACCTCTTCCTCGCGATACCTGCTTTGATAGAAAGCTCGCTTTGCTATTGATTCCCTAGACTGAGAAACCCGGAGGAAAAGAAGTAACAAGGGTATTTTCATGGGGACAATGATGACTGTGATACCTCTTACTCCTAAGGCACCAGATAATTCCTTTATTAATAAACTTTATTTTTTAGACCAGGATTAGGTTTCTTAAAAAGTTGAACAGAAAACAGTGAGTTCTCAGATACCCCCTTTCCCCACCCTAAACCTCACCCCACAGAATTTCCTCTACCATTAACATCTGGCTTGAGTGTGGCGCATTAGGGTGTGCGCTCTGCATTGCACATCCTCCGGGTTTCCACAGTGCATAATGTCATGCATCTCCCATTTCAGTATCATACAGAGCAGTTTCACTGTCCTGAAAGTCCCCCGAGCTCCATGGATGATTTTTCAAAATTAAAATCAGACATAGGCCGAGCGTGGTGGCTCATGCCTGTAATCCCAGCACTTTGGGAGGCCGAGGCGGGCAGATCACGAGGTCAGGAGATTGAGACCATCCTGGCTAACACGGTGAAACCCCATCTCTACTAAAAATACAAAAAAATCAGCCAGGCGCGGTGGCAGGCACCTGTAGTCCCATCTACTCAGGAGGCTGAGGCGGGAGAATGGCGTGAACCCAGGAGGCAGAGCTTGCAGTGAGCTGAGATCACACCACTGCACTCCAGCCTGGGCGGCAGAGCAAGACTCCATTTCAAAAAAAAAAAAAAATCAAACATAAAGAGAAAGACAGAGCTCTTCTGACACTGAGTTGCTTGCCTTTCTAATAACAAGAAATTTACAACCATTGTAAATTGACCTGAAATACACCAGTCACTTTGAGAGTCCTCAACTCCTAAAATCCTTAGCTAATACCAATCTTATTAGTTTCTTTTATTTACCAAGGAGAACAAAACGAGATAATTTCAAGACATTTAGTAAAGTTCAATATACATTTATGTTGTAAACACAAATCGAAATTGGCTGCCACAATCCCAAAGGACACATTTCTAAAACACGTGAGACAGTTCTGATGCCAGTACCCCTTACACACCCCAGCACTCTCCTGGGCCAATGACCATGGCTAAGCAAGGATCTAATATTCCAGGCCTAGTATTTGTTTGCTACTATTGTCTCTCTCCAGAAGACAGTCCCATCTCTTCCAAGGGAAGAGAAAAGTTTCATAATGTTACTTTAAAAAACAAAAACAAAAACAAAAAACAACAACCAGGCAATGAAAGACAAAGTCTTACCAGAAAAATAAGGCATTTATTACAGATTGAAAGTGATCAGAAGAAAAATCGCAGAACTCACAAAATCATTCTTTGTTGGAACTTCTCTTCCTTCCAGTGCATTTTGCTGTTAAGAGAGAAGGAGCGTGAGGGTCAGACCACCACAGCATGCATTCACATTCCAGCTTTGGAGGCCCGGGACCCGGGACTCCTGGGCATTACTCAAAATTAGATCGGATGATACAAGACACTAGAGCAGCTATGCGAAGCAGCAGCTCCTTGAACAAACCAAAAGGGCGAGAGACGCCTACAGGAGGAAGAACAGGTAACTGGGTCTGGGGAGTAGACACACAGCCCCAGAAAGGAAGCTCAAATCTCATAAAGGGAAGAATCAAAGAGACCCCAAGCAGGGGCTGCAGCCAGGTGTTGGGCCCCAGGCTGGTCTGTGAAGGTGTTTGTGGCGTGAGGTCAGAAAGGAAGGAACCAAGCAAAAGCAAAAGAGTAGGCTGTCCATAGCTGCCATCGTGAGCGGGTGTGGGGCTGGAGATCAGGATACTCCCTCCAGCCATTCATCCATTTATCAATTCATCTATTTGATAAACACGTATGCACTGAGCATTTGCTGGGGGTTACAAAGATCAATGAGGCATAGTTTTGACCTCAAAAATCTCCCACAACCTAGTGAAGGGGGTGGAAGTAGTTAAGAGTACAGCTTGGTAAATGCCAATTCCAGAGACACCCATGTGCAGGACACCCGAGGAAAAGGGTTCCTGGAGAGGACACGTACGCTGAACTCGGAGGATAAGCTGGGGTGGGGATACTGTATCCCAGCAGAGGGGGCCTGAGAGTGGAGGTGAGACCCAGACTCGGGCCCCAGGAGAACAGTCAGCTGTGTGAGGCTCTCCCATGTGACTCAGGAGACAGAAGCGGCACACAAGGCTGGGGACAGACAGGCAGCACACTGCCAGGTGTGTGGACGAGGACTGCTGAGGCGCACACTCTGAGGGAACTCATCCCCATCCTCCGGCAGAGCAAGGTCCCAGACTCGTGATAAAACGACTCTGATGACAGTGCACAGGTGCCTTTGAGGGCAACAAGACACAGCCACCAGGAAAATGCTGAACATAGCAGGCTGGAGTTGCAGTTGGAACTGGAGCCAACAGCGTGGAGTGGACAGAGCTGTGAAACATTTCGGAGGAAGGATTAGCAGACCTCGGTGACCAACTGGGTGAGGTGGGGAGGAGGTCTGAGATGCATCTGCTTCAGGCCTGGAGGCCCTTGGGAGATGGGTTGGAGACAGGGGGAAGAGTGACTCTCCGAGGGAAGAATCGCATTTTGAAGGTGGTATGGAATACCCAGACGGAGGTGTCTGGCAGGCTGCCGTTGACTCAAGCTTGGAGTCCAGGCTGGAGGGACAGTGTGGAGGAGAGGGGGAAGAATCCCCAGACAGCTGGGTGTCAAAGCCCTGGGGGTGCTTGGCATCACCCAGGAGAGGGAAGGCCATGAGCAGAAGGAGAGCCAAGGCTGGAATCCTGGGGAACATCGTGGTTTCAGGGGCAGCAGGAAGAAGCCGGTCTGTGAAGAGCAAGAAGTCTTGGCCTGAGAGGGGACCAAATCTCAGAGGTCAGAAGGTTTCAAGAAAGAAGGAGTGGTCATCCACATCCAACACGGCCGTGAGGTCCAGGAGGAGAAGGGGTGGACGTGAGGATGGGACAGCAGTGAAGTGGCTACAGAGCAGGGTGGTGTCGGGTGCAGGAGGAGAGACTGCATGAGGCCCTGGGGAACTCACGCAGATGGCGTTTTTAAAAAGACAGGATGAGAAGAGATCAAGGGAGAGTAATGAGAAGCTAGGGATAAACGAGGGGCCCGAACCCGCTCTGCAGTCAATCCTCATTGGTCACAGATGCTGTATTTGTGAATTCGCCTACTCACTGCTAACTAATAGTTATTTGAAATCCCAAAATCAGTACTCATGGTGCTTTCTCATTCATTCTCAGACAGGCACGGAGCAGCCAAAGATTGGAGTCATCCTTCCCACACTTTCCCAGCTGAGGTCAATCAAGGCAACGCTCTACCTCCATGTCTCAGCTCTCCTGCTGTCAACAAGTGTCCTTTTCGCGGTCTATTTAATGCCCCAATTTTTGCATTTTTGTGCTTTTTGTTGATGATGTCACGTTTAAAATAGCTCCCAAGTATAGTGCTGTCAAGTGTTTCTAAGTGCAAAAAGGCTGTGATGTGCCTTACAGAGAAAATATATGTGTGTTAGAGAAGCTTCACTCAGGCATGAATTATAGCACTATTGCCCATGAGTTCATTGTTAATGAGTCAACAGTATCTATTAAATACAGCATCTAAACAGAAACACACATGAAACAAGGTTATATACTAATCGGTTGAGGAAAACGTTGGGAACAGAGGCTCAGAGAACTCTAACCCTGGATTGCCTATATGAGCGATAGTTTAGTATTCACTAATTCAATGTTCGAAGCAACTTTATAGATGATAGCTGCCTCAGATAACAAGAACCAACTCTACTTGATGCAGCAATTAATAGAGTGTGCTGTGAATGTGAATCAGAGAAAGTGTAAATGAATACAACTGCACATCGCCATGTCTGTGCCTCTGGAGTCTCGGTTGGGTCTTTTCTGTCTTCTGTGGGGCATCTGGCTCTCTTCAGTAGGGGGACTGTCATGGGAGACCATGATGAGAAGTTGTCACGAATGAATCTGATACCTGAATGTGGAAATCACTCAGAAAGCTGGCAGAGGTGGTGCGGGTTTTAGGGACCGGTCCTCCCACATAGTTGATGATAAGCAGGTATGTTTCTAACACTTTAGATCAGTTAAAGTCTTTGCCATCTAGTTGGTGACTACATTTCTAGTTTCACCCAACATATGACAAATGCTTCTTAAACAAATAAGCCTTGAAGTTTTGCCCTCTCATCCTATTTTTTTTAAATACGGAGATGTGAGAAAAACAGGAAGGAAGAGGGAAGAGGCTTTGGAAACAGACAGACATCAAGAGTTCAGTCTCAATCCCAACACTATCTCTGAGGGCAGGGGCCTCTAAATGCCTCTGCTTCCTCCTCCATGAAACAGAGAGAATGACAAGAAGAAAACTTCATTTGATTGTTCCAACGTTTATGCAAGGGAATGTACGAATGGGTCCAAACACAGGCCCAGGCATTCTTGAGAGCTGTGATATTCGTGGGCACAGAGGCTGGGCACAGAGGCCAGGCACAGAAGGGCATTTAATGGACATCTGTTGAATAAATGGATAAAATTATGAGAATGATTCTTTTTACTATGCCCTTATTGACAAAAGGCCTCAAAAAGAACTGCCCCCTTTGCTGCTCTTGGGCATAGTTTAGGAACTCCACACTAACAATCAAGATTGTGACATAAAGAAAAATGCATCACTCACACTGCTATGGTTTGGGTGCTGAGGGGCTTCTGGTCACTACGTAATTGAAAAGTCAGAGCTATTCCAGCTACAAAGATAAGAAAGTCTAAGATTCTCAAAGAGATTTTTTTCAACGTGGGAGCTGGGACCTGATTTTCTACATTTCCTACCTTAGAGCAATAAATGAGAAAAAAATTCAGAGTATTTTATTTAAATAATACATTTCACTATCTACTCATATATCAAATAGTTTTCTGGCAACAGGAAAGAATCCTAGAACAGTGTTGAGGGCTCTGGGGATTTCATAACAAATAACCAAAGTCTCTGCCTTTAAAGAGCTCCCCAGTGGAAAAATGTCACTCACAATTTAGAAAGAGTAATTTTGTTTCTGGTCATGCATTCATTCATTCTTTCCTCCCAGTCTGATTGATTGTATTCTATACACTGTTCTTAGCACTATGAAATTGACGAAGGATATTTTTAATAATTTCATATAGACATATCATTAATAATATTTTTACTTCTTATAAAACTGAAATAATTAACAAGGAGAATGCATCCTCAAGAAGTTTATGGTCGGCATGGTGCCTCATGCCTGTAATCTCAGCACTTTGGGAAGCCAAAGTGGGTGGATCACTTGGGGTCAGGAGTTTGAGACCAGCCTGGCCAACATGGTGAAACTGCATCTCTACTAAAAATAGAAAAATTAGCTGGGCATGGTGGTGCGTACCTGCAATCATAGCTACTCGGGAGGCTGAGGCAGGAGAATCGCTTGAACATGGGAGGCGGAGGTTTCAGTGAACAGAGATTGTGCCACTGCACTCCAGTCTGGGCAACAGAGCAAGACTCTGTCTCAAAATAGAAAGGAAGCTTGTGGTCTAGTATGGACCAAAAAAAACCGCCAAAAAGTAATAATAAACCCTTGAAGGAATTGCATCCTCAGAGGTTAAGGAACTGGATCACCATCGCAGATGGGAGAGTAGGCTCAGAATCAGGCCCACGGATTCCAGATCCCATCGGATTGGCCTCCTCACTAGACCCACTGTGCCAGCCTCACCAGCCTCATTCTGTGATTTCAGGGAACCCAGCATGGTGTAGAAACCTGTCCTGCTAAAGGTCACGGGAGGGCAGAGATATAACTGGGACTTCAGTCAAATCCCATCTTCAGGTCAGGGCTGCAGCTATCTTTAAAAATAAATGTTTTGAGTGATCAACTTCTTCATAAAAATCAGATGATGAATTTATACTGCAATACACATATGTATACACATCCAACGTTATCATGTTACAATAAACAAAATATAGCCAATCCACTGAGAACTCTATCCTCCCTGCCCCAACCCATGATATTCTGTAAAGAAAAAGAAAGATATCATTTACATTTATATAAAAGGAATATGATGTGTCTGTTTCTTCATAATGTGTACATTCTCGATCTCAGTATGGAGCTGGTTTTTATATTTAGAGTTGTGCCATACATTCAAAAGAAAACCTACCATTTGTATCTTTCATCCAAGAAGGCCTCACTGGTGAATTTCCCTTCTATTTTAGTAAAATGTCAGTTGACTTCTTTCAAATCTCAATATGGTTAAAAATTAATTATACTATGCCTAACTTATGTTTTTGGTAAAAGAATTTCAAGAACCCAAAGTGAAGGATTTCATTCGCTTAAAAAATATTTACTGAGTGCTATTTATTGAGTGTGCTGGGCTGTGTGCAAGGCACTGGGGGACAGTGGCAGTTGAAGTTCCTTGAGACCTCCTCTTGGGGAGTCTGGTAGTCAGATGGGTGACAGGAAACAACCAATTGCAGTGCCCTGTGATGAGGACTCTACAGAGGCCCAAAGAGGGACATCATCTCTGATTCAGTGGTGGTGGCTTGTGATGTCAACGTAGACCTCCAAAGGGAAGCGACAACTGAGCTGGGACCTGAACGGTGAGGCAGAACTAGTCAGGTGGATGGTCCCAGTAGAGGCAGAAGCTGGAGGGACTGCAAGTACCTCAGTGCCTCAGGAGCTGAGCAGCCAGGTAGGCTGGAGATGTGGGCAGACCCAGGTCATGAAGGCCATTGTGAGCTACACTGGGAGTTTGGACTTTATCCTGAAAGCATGCAGTGTTATGAAGATTGTAAAGCCCTTGAACACTCCAGCTTCATTATTAACTTGTGTGTGCACATGTGTGCATGTAAAATACCTATGCATGGAATTGATGTCTACAATTCCTTCTTGACATTCCTCTTACGTGTGCCCTTCATGATAGCTACATTTGCTCCCATCCCGTCCCTAGTAACTGGGAATTTATACATATGTGAAACTCTGTGAAGCTCAGTGCCAGTGTGATAAACCAGGACTCCATCTCTAGCTTTCTATAGAACTGGGGCAGATAGACTGTTCTTCCTATTGGGCCAGTGTCTAGCTGTTGCCCACCTCTGCTCAGTCCCACAAGTGAAGCAAGCATTAGTTTATATGGGGCAAGGATCAGAGTCTCCTCCATGTTTCATAATAAACCTGAAGACAGTAAGCAAGGCAGACAGTGTGGGATCAGAACCTGAGGCAAGAATACAATCAATAGTTCATTGGTGATGGTAGTGAAGTAATGGACCAATGCCAGAGAAATGTGTGGGGGAAGTGAATAAGACCGGACCCCAATGTACATTCCAAGAAGATGAAGGATGAAGGGGAGTCAGTGATGCCCTCAAGAGTTTTAGCTTGAACAAATTAGGTAGATGGTAATGTCATCAATTAAGAAAGGGAACTTGAGGAAGCTAGTTGAGTTTCAGGGACACCCAGGATACACAATGGCAATGCCACATAGGCAGTTGATATAAAGGCCTGGATCCAGACATAGAGTGTGGTAAGAGACAAGTATTTGGAAATAATTATGCATCATTGATAGTTAAAGTCAAGCAAGAAGAAGAGATAAAAGAGTAATCTACAGAATAGGGGAAGAATTAAACTAAGGAGATTATACAAATGCTCAACAGTATTTAAAGTATACATCAGCCAGGCGTGGTGGCTCACACCTGTAATCCTAGCACTTTGGGAGGCTGAGGCAGGCAGATCACCTGAGCTCAGGAGTTTGAGACCAGCCTGGCTAACATGGTGAAACCCTATCTCTACTAAAAATACAAAAATTAGCTGAGTGTGGTGGAAGGAGCCTGTAATCCCAGCTACTAGAGAGGCTGAGGTGGGAGAATCGCTTGAACCCAAGAGGCAGAGGTTGCAGTGAGCCAATATCATGCCATTGCATTCCAGTATGGGCAACAAGAGCGAAACTCCCTCTCAAAAAATAAATTAAGAAATAATAAATAAAATACACATCAAGAAAAGGAAGCTAGATGGTATTTCATAGATGTGAGGTGAGGAGGTTGAGGAAGCAACCAGAGACTACAGTTGTGTCAAAAAGTTTAGCAGGGAAGGAAGAATGGAGGGAAGGCAGTTGCTTAGATGGATGAGATGGGCCAAAAGAAGGGGCTGTGCCCTTGTTGTTTGTTTGTTCCTCAAATGGATAGACTTGATCACATCAGTGGCAACAGATACAAATGTCATGGGAAAAAGAGTGAGGGTGCATGAGATTGAAGAGGCAATTGAGCAGAAGTCTTGGGAAGGAGGTCATAGAAGCCAAAAGGCAAAGATTTGAATAGCACATTGTAGATATTTGGAGGCCGGCAGTTTTAAGGCATTCACTCCACATAGCTTCTATTTCTAAATACACATGTGTGCACCTGCATTTTCTTACCTCAAGGCTGTTACTCAAAGTCAGCATTTATTCTTGCTCTGTGCTGGTGGTTTGGGTATCTTCTGTTTCCAGGAGGCAAAACCCTTCTCATGATCTCTAAAGATAGAAAAGGGAAGCATAGGCTCTGTCAGTCACATCAAGAGCTGAGACAGTGTGGACAATGTTACTACAAATTAATGAGAAGGATTGTGACAAGCATAACCTGAACCCATCTGCCACGAGAATACCTGAGGGCGTGATAACTTCATCTTCCTTATTCCACTCTCTCTCCTTCTCCCCTGTGTTGTGTTACAGCTGGGTCCAGTGCTCATTTCTCCCCACTCTGTATTACTACATGTGATGTCTCAGCCACCATGGATGCCCTCGAGGGCAGGAACTGCCACATTTATCTTTCAGTCCTCCATGGGACCTACCCAGTGTTTGGCACACACATTTGTTGAATTAAATTAAATCATCATGTTCAAAGCACTCTCCAAGACAGCTGCACTTCTGTGTCAATGATGCTCCTCCAGGCCCAATGTGTTTTTAGATTTTGGCTTAGAAATCTCTTCCAAGACATATAAAAGAATTGGTCACATTAATTTATATCCATATAACATTTTTAGTCCCAAATGGCATTTGTCCAATGCAATAATCAGTTTCTAAGATGGCTTCCTGGTATTCACACTCCTGGGCAGTCCCTTCCCACATTGGGGCAGGATTGGCCTGTGTGTTTAATAATAAACTATGCAGGAGTGAAGTCATATCACTTCCAAGATTAATTTATAAAAGACTGTGTCTTCTGCCTTCAGTGCTCTTGCTTGCTCATTCTCTCTCTCTCTC